ATCAGTGTAATACTGCAGTTTAAAACAGTCTAAAAATCCAGAACTATTCATTCCAGCTAGATTAATTTTAAAAGTCAGCTAAAGACATTCCAATTTTTCCCCCACTGTTTATTTGATGGGATTCAATACAAAACTGATAAAATTGAAATCCCTTTTTTTTTTAAAATGGGAATTTTCCCTTTCCCCAAGTAGTAAAGGGCATATAGATGACTTACTGTACACAATTCGAAGTTAACACATCCCCCCCAAATTAGAGTGAGGTTCCTCTTAAAGAGCCACATTACATATCTAATCCACATAGATTCACACTCATGTACGGGGATCTATCCCGGGGGGAGGGAAACCCCAACAGGAAATCAGTACACTTTAAGCAACATCTACACCGAACAAAGGGAAAAAAAATTAGACTGAAGGAAAAATAAAAAGGTAGGATTTCATTAAAAAAAAATTTGAAATTGGGGAAATTTAAACCATGACATCAAAATAATTAAAGGGGCACAGAAAAAATGGGACAAGGTAGGTTTTTTTACCGGGGGGGTAGAACTGGGTGTAATTGAAATTTATACCCCAAAGAGAGAAGTGGAAATCAGAAAAACATTTCTTCAACAAAAATTTTTGTGTGGTAACTTTAAAATGAAGGGGGAATTTAATTTCAATGAAATAGGGGAAGTGAACTACAAAAAAGGGTTTTTGAAAATGAGACTGATGGGGAAAACTATTTACATCAATTTCAAAATTTTAAAAAGGTGGGCCAAGAGCTGCAGTCATTTTTCCCCCCTTTACCAATTCAAAAACGGTTATCCACAAAATTTTTTATCATTATTTATAATTGCCTTTATGTAAAGAAATTTAAAATTTATACTGTTTTTTAACTTTTTTTGCATGTGCCTTCAAAAAAACATGCCCCAAACAAGGGGGTCACACTTATTACCTTTTATTCCCAGTATTTTAAACCCTGATTTTTTAAATGCTGTAATGTGTTTGAAAAGAGAATTGTAACTTAAATTTTTTAAAACACTGGCCTTTTCCCCCCAAGGGTTAGTGCCCCCCCCAAAAAAAGAGGGGATAATTCACCCATTCATTCAATTGCTGTCTTCCTGAGGTGTGTTACTCCATTCGATGCCCCATGACTACAAATCCTACCTCCCCTTTAAGTGAAAAAAAATTGAAAGTTGGGGGAAAAAAAAACAAAGAAAAAAATAAATTTCAGGACCCTACTTAGCCCTAAAAACCTCCTTCACCAGCTCCCCCAAACCCTTTTTTGGCGATCCTCCCTCTCCCCCTTTTCCTTCCACTCAAATTTTTATACAGTACTTTATTAATATTTTAAGTCTTCCTGTTGGTAATCCCACCCTTTTTTGTAATCCCCGACTGAATTACTGCAAAAATTTCAGCCACACATGACCTCAAGCATGACATTTTACTGTCTCTAGCCCCTACTCTTTTTTTAAAAGAATTATATACAACACCACAATTTTCTGTCTAGAAAGGTTCAAAAATTTTAAAAATACAGTAGGGCCCCCTTTACAATTTTAAGTGTTCCTGAGAAATGTTTCTTATTTGTGTATTAAACTCAACCTAATTTCCCCCACTACCCTGTTAAAACGGGAAATGTTCCTGATTAATCCCCAGTTGAAAACTGGGAGTCCTGAGTTTAATATTCCATATAAAAATTTTCATTTAGTTTTTAGAATGAAATGAAAAAATGTACAATCTCGTGAGCCCCCTTTTTTCCCCCCCTTTTCCCCTTCCTCCCTTTTTCTCTTTTTTCAATCACCCCCCTCCCACTCACCCATTCCTTTTTCCATTGTTCTGAAAAACGTGTGGGTGCTTCCAACAGAACTGCCCCTTCCCTCTCCTTTTTTTATCCTTCCTCCCCCTTTTTCCTTCCCCCCTTTCCCTTTTAGATTCCTTCCCCCTCCCGGTTTACCACAGATTGTTTCAGTGTCCATTTTCTTCCCCCACCCAGTCCCAGCCCAAGCTCCCCCGTTTGGCCTGTCAACCCGGTGGTGGGGTATTCAGCAGACCAGCATATGCAATGACCCCCTCATCAGAAAATAACTTGAGGAATTATCAAATTTTCCCCTTGAAGACAGCCAGGTGTATGTTGGCAATTTATTATCATGAAGGGAAATTTTTGAAGAGGCTTGGTCCTTTACACTTACCCGGTTATCATGTCTAATAAAGCCCCCGCTTTTACTGGAGGTGCTGTCTGCCGAGCCCTTTTCCCGAATTTTTTTGTAAATTATGATGTACCCACTCGCCTAACTCCCGGAATGTAGGTTTAGCCAAAACAAAATATTTTTTTGGTTCAGATGCTTTATAAAAACTTCACAAGCAGTGCTGTTTAAATTTTAGATGTGCCAAAATATTGGGTTTGTATCAGTGGGTAATTTTATTTAAGGGACAGTATCACTGAAAAGTTGCCGATACCAACCCCATACTCTTAAAAATTAATATTACAAGTACTTAAAAAAAATGAATACCCACTATAAGAA